TGCTGACATTCCTTATGGGTCAATATCTCTCACATTGTGAAGTTATGTGAATGTGATTCCTTCCATGCAAATCAAAGCGTGCAATACACAACACAAAAATGACAAGGTGCGAAAAGTTTACTAAAAATGGGAAATAAGTAAATGAAAGTTATTTACTTAATTGGTTATGAAATTCTCCATAATATTTTAGGTTTTTAAATCAGTGTTTCATCTTGAATATTGCCCCCTGTCTTTCTCTCATCCTTTCTACTCAACCAACATTCCCCAGCTAAAGAGCAAAGGAAACAGGAAGGAAAAGAAGAGATGAAAAAGATTAGGAATTATTAAAAGATATGGAAAATATAGAGAAGTAGCAGTAGTAGTGATACAGTTCCTACGTGGAAGATGTGTAAGTGTAGCGATCTGATTGCAAAAGGGGGTGGGACCTGGAAGCTTGTCTGAGTTTCAAGCACAGCCTCTTTAATTAAATTACATGTTTATTTTAACTGAGGAGGCTGAAGGAGATCACTGTAGACCTGAGCCCCAGCCCAAAGCCAGCTCTTTGCACCTATATTCTTAAGAAAGATGAGCATCAAAGTGTCACTAACTAGTGCTCTAGCTTAATTAAGCCATTCAAATTCTCTGGGCCTCAATTTTCTCATTTGGAAAATGAGGTGGTTGAACTAAGTAAACTTTGCCTCCTTCTGTTCTAATATCCTATGAGAGTCTATGAGCTAGAGGTTTGGAAACATTCACTGAGAATTGGATGATGGCTCACTTTTCTGTGTACATCACCTCTGCCTGGTCTATGGGGATGATAAATGATCAGAAACTGGGCCAGAAACTCTAAAATGCAGACTTTCGAGCTATCAGCCAGGATGGGAATAGGACAGGGATAGAAGACTCAGAAAGTACTGCTTTTTTTTTTATAATGCTACAGTGTTATTTTTGTTTTCTCTTTAGGATCCAGAGGCTAGCTATGATTTTAACGATAATGACCATGATCCATTTCCCCGATATGATCCCACAAATGAGAACAAGTGAGTAAATGTGGATTTGGGGGTGGGGGTAAGTGCTTTAAAGTGCTTTTATCTTATTTGAGAAAATTACACTATAAATATGATCCACATTTTAGCTCTCGGAAAATGTTCATGTACACCATCCATACCACAATATTTTGTTGCTTTTAAAACATAAACCAAAGGTTCTATTTATATATTCCTTTGGGCTTATAGAACCATATTTCAATTAAACTTTCTTCTTAGGTTATGAAATGTTCCCCTCAAATGCTACTGAATAGTTATGGCTTTAAAAAAAATTGTTTGGGACATAAAGAATAAAAATCTGAGTCCACCCCACTGCCCCCAATTCCTCTATGAATCATTTATTACTAGCAACATGCTTGATGTTAGTCATGAAGAGAAATACAGATGACCAAGGTAACAAATCCCCACGACTTCCTATGGCCGCAACCATGCTCACTAGTTCCCTCAGAATATGGCAAGGCACCAGACGAGAAATATACCATGGGCTTGGCCCTCAAATCCAACACAGTCTCCGGGGCATTGGGCTAATTAGTAGCCTGTTCCAGAGTTTCTGCTGGGTATTCTAAAGCTAAAGGGAAGAGAAAAAGGATATCTTCTGATTCCTAAATTAACTCTCCATAGCAGCCACAAGGTGACGAGTGAGGCCAAGAGCCAGACCCACCGAAGCAAGAGGCCAAATAAAGACCCAAAGGCAAGAGACATTTTAACCTTTTTTTTCTTAGCTCCAAAGGAACTTCACCCTCCAGGCACACAGCCTCAAGTGTCCATGCCCATGTGAAAACTCATCTTTGTGCGTAATGATGTCTCTCACAGACTTCAAGGAGACATTCACACTTTCCTCTTCATTCGCTCCACCCAAAGGAAACTTGCACCAAAGCAGATGAAAGCCAAGGCAAAATGAGTGCTGCTACAAGTGGGGGTGGAAAGAGCAAGTAATGAAAAGCTCTTTGTGGATGCCACATAAAGTGTTTCCCTTTTCTTTCTTCCTCTCTCAGATTATTAACCAATTAGGGTCAATAGAGTTCTCTCTCTCTCTTGCTCTCAGTTTCCCTCTCCCCTTCTCCCTCATTTTCTCAGAATTCCCATGTGGCTGGTGTAGTAATGTTGACCTAAAGTTGTTACTTTGGATTGTCCTCCAGAAGGCCAACAAACCCCAGGAAGGGAGGATGGGGCTCCAGGACTTGGCCTCAACTTCCGAGTGTATATTTCTTCCTTGAGGGGAAGGGGAGGCTTGGGGAGGGTTCTTTCAGTACCATTTACTTCTTTTAGGGTTTATCTCTTAAAGGGGTTAACAGCAAACAGCGCTTGAGGTTAGAACATTCCAGTAACAGTACAAAAGGAACCATGAGAGGGCACCCTTGGAGGAAAGTGGGCTATCTCAGGAACTTAGAGCAGGACCCCCACAGACAAACGTTCAGCCATATTTCTGAGTGAGGGCAGTGCAAGACCAGGAGGAACACATGTTCTTTTAGAGCATGACCTTGTAATGTTAGCCTGCCTGGTAGTGATGGCTTTGCCAATTACCAGGAGGGAGGATGACCTTGAGGAAATCACTCATCTCACTCTGCCTCTATTTTCTATTTCGTCTCCTAAAATGGTGACAAGGTATCTGTTCCCTACCCTCCTAAAAGAAGCTTCCTAAGGAAATGGGCAATAAGTGCTTGGAAGAAAAGGACACTCTTCCTAGAATGAAGTAAAAATGACAACTCTCAATCCATCCCCTTGATCAAGACTAAGAGGGAAATCTGCTCCCGACCACATGGGCACAGCTGAAGAGACTGTTAGCTGAAGGTGTCAGCCCCCTTTTTAGGCAGTGTGTACTGGGTCTGGCCCAGGATCCAAAGTGGGTGATAACTTGTGTGGCAGATGCATGATAGGTGAATACCTGGTGAAATGACATTCTCTAGAGTTTTGTACTCATGAGAAGGGGAACTCAGATGTCCCTCTTCCCTTCCCCCCCAAAAAAGGGACTCTCAACTTATGGTACTTATAATATCCACATTTCCCCCAATTCACAGAGTTCCAAAGGCCCCAAGGAAGCAACCCATAATTGTATGTATTTTGTGCCTGAAAACTCTGAGCTTCCAGAGCATAGCAGACCGTGGACCTTGCACACAGCATAGAGTTAGTGTAACATGGCCAAACAAGAGAGCAAAGACTTTGCAGCTAGATTTAGATCAAATCTTAGATCTTCCACTTAATAGGTGAGTGACCTTGAGCAAATTATTTAACTTCTTTGTGACTAGTTTTATCATCTACTAAAGAGGTAATAATAGTACCTACTTCATTGGGTTCTTAGGGGGATTAAATAAGTTTATATATGTAATTGGCTTGGATAGTGCCTTGTATATAGAAAAAGTTAAATGTGTGCTATGATGATGATAATGATCAAGGCTTTTCATTTAGCAACTAAGGTAGACCTCCTTTCACTGAGGAAAAAAGCATGACAAGAATAGTATCATCTGATAAGAGCAGAAGCAGAGACAATTTTCTAAGCCAATTCAGAATCTGCTATTTGAAAATTACACAATAAGCAGCTATCTCTCAGGGTCCTCTTGACTATCAACCAAAAAGCTAGCATCCCCATCATTTATCAAAATGTATAATAAAAAGTAGAGTTACCCTTCTAGCATATTGTCAGAAATAAATCCCTTAGGTTTAGAAAATGAATGGCCCCATTTTGTCTTGGCCTTTATAGCAGTTAGAGACCTATTATCTCCCAATTCCAAGGGCATTATCTCTCCAAACTATCTGTGTTGCTGCTGTTCTTTATTACTATGTAAATGAGGTTAATAAAAGCTACATTTGAATTCTCCTCTGCAAATCAAATGAGGAATCACTAAATAACAAAGTCTTAAAAGTGCAGGTAACTCTTACTACTAATCTGGCATGAATTTGTGATCAGTATTTCAACACCAATTACAGATTATTCTTCTATTTTATAACATGTGTGGCAAGGATATTTTAACTAGTACAATAGTAGTCTTTAAAGTATCTTCTGGAATAATTTTTTTTAAATCAATTTGTTTAAATGCCAGTTGCTCTAAAATAATAGAGTGTTCTTTTATCTCAGAGCCTGATTTAAGGAAAGAAAACTGCAGGTCTAGGAAGAATGATATAGAACCACTTTAATAAAGTCTTTTTTTCTTAAGGTGTGGAGGTGAGAAGTGAGGATAGGAGGAGGCAAAGATATCAACCCCTATTTGTACCACGATTCTGCACCTTTTAAGAAAACAGTACTATGTAAAGAGAGATAAACACTATATAAAGAGAGATAAATAATAGGTAGTGTCATACTGCATCATTTTTAGGACAGAGGTACAATGCTGGAGATGTTTGCCAACAGGTTGATTCTGTAGGCTCTACCTGGAGACTTTGCTATTTCGGGCGCTGTCTTACATCTTGTGTAAATGGAAATACAGGTGGTGGTGACTTCTGGTAGCATATTTCACCGATGATGGCAAATGAATTTTCCCTTCCACAAAAGGAAAGAAGGCTAATCCACAGGCATAAGGTGCCTTCTATGTGTTCAATATGCATGCATTTCTCAGAGAATGGGTGTGTTGGTCAGGAGAGTTTCAGTTGCAGGTGAGAGAATCCTAACACAAAGATTAAGTAAAATGGAGATATTAAAATATTTTTACCCAAGAGACATTCAGCTTCAGGCATTGCAAGATCCAGAAACTCAAACAGTATGCCACCAGGACACCAATTACTCTGTATCCATCTCCTAGTGCTGCTCACCTCCACTTAGCTTCATCCTCAATAGAACACTGCCTGGTAGCAAGATCCACATGGCTCACATGGAACTTAAAGCTGAAGATTCTTGAGAAAGAATACAATCCTTTCCCCCAGAATCTGCATCAATTCTTGAAATGCTCTCTGGGAGGACAAGCCTCATGATAGAGAATCACAAGAAGTGAGCGAGGGCCACTTCCCAAAAGGGGAAAATGCTAGAAGACCAAAAAGAAGTGGGTGTCTGCTACATTAGGGAAGACTGTGAATTAAAGATAATTACATTGTTCTGACTTAGGACTCCTATCCAGTAGTAACATAAAGGAGGAACATCATTTAGTGGAAGGAGAACAGGAAATCATCTTTGGTATTTTAGGGAAAAAAGATAAGTGAAACAGGCTTATTTTATTTTATTTTTTTCCATAGGAATTATTCTTTCTTTAATTCATAATACAAGTATTAAATAAATCAAGTATCAACATTTAGATTTTTTTAACTTTTTTTAGTGGTTTGAGAGATGGCAATTTTTTAAAATTAATTAATTAATGTATTGATTTTTGGCTGCATTGGATCTTTGTTGCTACGCGCGTGCTTTGTCAAGTTGCAGCGAGCGGGGGCTACTCTTCGTTGCGAGGTGCAGGCTCCTCATTGCGGTGGTTTCTCTTGTTGCAGAGCACAGGCTCTAGGCATGCGGACTCAGTAGTTGTGGCTCACGGGCTCTAGAGCGCAGGCTCAGTAGTCATGGTGCACGGGCTTAGTTGCTCTGTGGCATGTGGGATCTTCCCAGACCAGGGATTGAAACAGGCTTATTTTAAATGACCCAGTCAATTTAGGATTTTTATATTTCATGCTGGGCTAAATTAATTGATGTCTAGTACAGTAGTGTTCAAAGGGAGCTGGCTGACAGAGTTGCTCAGAGCTAACCCTTCCTCTTTTTTCCTCTATGTCAGCATATCTGGTCAGTGGCTCCTCCAAGGCACCAACAGCCTTCATGCTGCTCCCAGGAGCTTCCACAATGGAATAAAGTCATGAAGTAAACAAATTCACATTAAAGTTTCTCTCAACTTCTTATTGACCCTCCTGAGGTCAGGGAAGTGATGGGAAAAGACAATCACTATCCCCAGAATTTCAGAATTGATACTTTAATGGTGGACTTTGGTCTGTTTTAGAGATGGATTTTTTTTTTCCCCCCAAACACTCTGAAATCATAAATTACCCTCATTGTCCCTAGTTGCAAAACTAGTCTTGTTCAGGTTTCTGGTCCCAGTCAGAGTTGCAGGAGCACCCTGGTTTCCCAAATAGCCTGTAGTGTCTTGTCAAAGTTTCAAAATCCTCTTGGTACCAGGAAACCTTCAGATGTTTTAGTCTGGTATATGGTTAGAGGAAGAGAGGAGGGCTTGAGAGGGGGCTCTGTTTTATACATCCTACTAGGACTTGTACAGGTTAAACTAATCCAAGGAAGTCACTAGTGAGGGGAAGTGAGGAGTCACTTTAACACCAAAATTCTGGTACAGAAACGATTTCTTTGAGATGGTATCAATAGCTAACACTTCCTGGGTTCTTACTATATACCAGCCACTTTCCTAAGTGTTCTGCATACAATATTTCATGGGATGCCACAATTCTTTGAGGACCAGTAACTTACCCAAGGTCGCATCACTAGTTTGTGGCAGAAGCTAGAACTTGAACTCATATACTTGGGCTCCAGTACGTGTTCCCTTCATCTGATACCTACACTTCATCTAATACCGATGGGAAGAAAACCAGCAACAAGCCTGACAAAAAGTTAACATATCCATGTACCATGGATTCATATGCAACACCAATGTTTGTCCTCATTACGTTTTATAAATCCTATTTTCTAATCCTCAGACATGGGACCAGATGTGCCGGAGAAATTGCCATGCAAGCAAATAATCACAAGTGTGGGGTCGGAGTTGCATACAATTCCAAAGTTGGAGGTAAAGCAAAGGGTTGTTCCTGTAGTTTTGCACCTTAATTTGAGTCTTGCATTACCTGGTGTAAATGGGGTGGTGTGGGGGACTTTTCAACAACCAGAGGAAGAAATGAACTCCATGCAAAATTTGCTACACGACTTGAATGTGATTTGCAAGCAAATCAATGGACCTGGATTCTTAGAAAATGATAGCTGAATATAGCCTATACATCTTTGTTGGGTGGGAAAAGGAAATGTTGAATAGCTTTTGAAGCAAATCTAATTTTCTCTGTGTTCTGATTTAGAAGAGTTTGTTATTGAGCGCTTGCTAAGAGAACAGAAGGAGGAGGTAAATTTAGGCAAAGATTTTCCCTGCCTCTCAATTCTGTAGTCCTTTAGTTATAACAAAGAACAGTTAAAAACAATAAAAAGAATACATACTTCTTATAGTAAGAAGCCAAAGGTTATCTGTGGTAGCAAAAATTCAGAATCTCTGGTTGTTTCAGTCAGTGTCTTTATAGGTAAGCGTATGGTAAGTTCCACCAGGGCAATTTAATAAAGGAACTATTTACAAGAGCTAAAAGAAACCAACAAGGGACTAACTGATGTAAGCAGATGTTACCACCTTTAGACTTAATGGAGCAAGGGGAGGGAGTAGTCATGGAAACTGGAGAGAGAAAGCTGTGACCACATGAGACAGCCACTGGATAGGAGCTGTGGCCATGAGTACAACAATGGAGCTGCTTCTAAGCAGGGGGGATCCAGGAATGAGTACCTCACTCTCCCCTCACCCCCAAACCTCCTGCTGCTGTTTCGGTTGGCTGAAACCAATGGGAAGACAAAAGAACCCACTGGTGCCAACCACGTTCCTCTGAGGAAGGGTGCAGAGTGGATCTGCAAGGGGTTCACAGAGAATAAAACACTTGTCTCTCCTCTTCACACTAGCCCTGCCTCAGGCTTTCATGGTTATACTATGAATTTTGCATTTAGTTTGTTTTCTAAAACCACAGCAAAAAAGATTCATTGTAGAACATGGCAATGACAGTAAAACTCCTTTAAGCTCTACCTGAGTATACCTTGAATCTGGCTTTGTATTCCGTTTCGGAAATAAAATAAATACACATCTTAGCATATAGAATGCATCTCTCACTATTACAGCACACTCCTAGATTTTAAGGGTCATTCTTGATTCCTTTATACCAGCATCATCAAAATGCCATGTTAATTTAAAGAAAATGGAGGCAGGAGCACAAATTACATAATCACCTAGAAAAAGAATGCACTTTTTAAGTAATGATGAACTATGTAGCTATAGTCTGTGAGAGAATCATCTCATCCCTTCATTTTATAGAGGAGGAATCAGAAGCAAGATTCTCAAGGAAACCAAAACACACCTACTGTATGTCCATCATTTACCTTCCAAGACATTATCCACATCCTGGAAGTTAACAGGATGGATTTGAGTGCCAGATTTCTGGGATTCAAGTCCCAGCTTCCCAGCTGCAAGTTGTGTGGCCTTGGGCAAGTCCCTGTCCCTCTCTGGCTGCAGTCTCTCTCCCTGTAAAATGGGGAGAATTACAGCACCCACCTCAAATGGTTGTCATAAGGATAAATGAGTTCATACGTTTAAGGCCTGTACAATGGTAGCTGCGTATATAAGTAGATCCTCAATGCACACGAGCTGTCATCATCCGCATTTTACAGCTGAAGAAACTGAGGCACATAGAAGTTAAGTGGCTTGCCCAAGATCACAGAGCTAGTAAATAGCAGAGCTGGGATTATTTTCCTAAATGCATTTTAAACAATTTTTTAAAAATAAATATAACTTCTACTAGTCATGTCAACTACATGTTCTTTTACCCAAGCTCCATAGTAAATAATAGTGTGAAAATATAAAGCTGTGCACTCCATTGCATCATTAGCCTGAAGCCAGGAATAACCAGGTAGCTGCCTGTATCTGTCTAAATTGCTTTTGCCTTCCTGGCTCTTGAATACATGAGTCTGATGATGGGTGACAGCCTGTTGGAAAGCATAGAGCCACTGCATCTGCCTTCTCCTGATGAAAAGTGATTCCCCCTCAGGAGTAAAATCCATGGCAATGATTTCATCCTTGAGATTATTTAGAAGAAAAGGAAGCACGTTCCTTGAAAATGTTTCTTAGCAAATACATAAAAGAATGGCCTCTGGGTTATTTTTAATCAGTGCTTAGAAACAAGAGTTTTTTCCCTATTTGTGAGTTTCCTATTGTAAGTAGATCTTTTCAAGCTGCACGGTTTCCCGTACAGAGTCCTCTGTAAGGCACTGACTGGGCCACAGCCATTCGTGGTACAGTCATGAGCA